TGAATAAACAAAAGCCTAAAGTAAGCCATCCTGCTTAGAAAACATAAAAACTATCCTAGACACCCAAATTGCATTTGACTATAAAAAAGCAGGAAAAGTTGCTAAAGACCAACCAAAATGCGTGAATAAAACAAATAAAATGGTTCAAATATTACAGTCTTCAAACTTAATCTTTTAAAAAGTCAACAGACTTAAGGGCCAGGCACAGTGGCTCATGTCTGTAATCCCAGCACTTTCGGAGGCTGAGGAGGCTGAGAGCAGCCTGTGCAACATGGCAAAAACCTGTCTCTACAGAAAAATGGGAAAATTAGGTGTGGCGATGCACACCTCCTAGCTATTCAGGAGGCTGAGTTGGGAGAATTACCAGAGCCTGGGGAAGCCGAAGCTACAGTGAGTCATGACTGTGCCAGTGCACTCCAGCCTCCAGCCTGGGCAGCAGAGTAAGACCCTGTCTAAAAATAACTTAATCAAATTTACAACATAGAACCTAGACATTCAGATAAATAACTGTGTTATAAGTTGTCATTAAATAATTGGCATAACGCAATTTGAATTCTGCCCTTCTTCTTGATGCCTACAAACATAGATAATTGTTTTTACAAAAAAACAAAACAAAATAATTTTTCCAAGGATAGCATATCATATATACCTTATCAGCAAGAAGAAAACAATTTAGATATTTTTCTGTTTCTACGGGAGAATGAATGCAACTTATAGGGAGAGTATGGGATTTCTGTTCAATAGAAGTAACATTATTTTAAATCAAATCACTTCTTCCATATGAACAACTAAAGAAAGACAGAAGACTTATGATAGATTTTATTTCTATATTTCTGTTTTTTAGCCATAGTATATTCCACAAGTAGTGACCATCCAGGGAGACTAGCAATTGCATTTATTAATTAACGCAGTCTCTAAACTTTAATATTATCTACCTAGGTATGAGTCATTGTGAAAACATAATACAGGTTTAAAAAAAACAAGAAGAAAAACTGCTAGAAGCCTAAAACATACACAAACATATACAGGATATTCAATTAATTTTATTTCAGTATACTTGAAAATAAAGTTAAATTGTGTCTTCATTAACTAAAAAAAAAAAATCAATCAAATATATATGTCCACAAAACCACTCAATACATACTTGTGGATAGAAGCTTGTACATTTAATTTCTTATTATAATATTCTCATTAAACCTTGATTAGATTGGTAATATAGTGCTAGACACATAGTACACAAATCATAATTGTTGAACTTGAATTTGAAGCAGTATTTAGGTTAATGGTCTGTAACTCTATTTTACTCTCTGGCCTGGCAACAAGAAGGGGCTTCTATTCCATGCCCATGACCCCTAAACTTTTCTGGATGGTTAGAGATGAGAAGGCAAAAACATAAACATTCTCTTTGGGCAAGGCTTTCTCAATTTTCCTGTTTGGGGATAATAAAGCATGAGTTTTAATTAAGTTTGTAGACTTACCATCTGTGAGCATCTGGAGTTTCATTCTGTTGCAGTGTTGAAGCAAGTGCACCAATTCCAATTCTGAAATTATAGAATATTTAGAACAAATAGCAAGGTAATGGACAGCAGTTATTTTATTTTCCTTAAGGTCACTTTTCATTCTGTCTGTGAGTCTACAAAAGAATTTATATCACCGTTCAAAGTCATTTATATTCTATTATCATATGCACAAAAGTTCATAATAAAACTATCCTTTTTCTCTTTTAATGACTTGCTAAATTTCAGATTTTCTATTCTAAGCTAACCACTCTTGAACTACAGTTTCCTGGGACCACTGTTTTTCTAATAGATAAGACAAAAGCATTCATTTTGTTTAGAAAGCTAGTAGGGTTTTTTTTTTTTTTTTCTTTTTTTTTTTTTTTTTTTTTTTTTTGGTGTTGCTATAAAAAGTAATTCTGAAATGTTTTTTGCCTAAATGAAAGTCTGGAAAACAGAAAGTTCTGGTTGTAACAACATTTTCAAAATGATAGAATAATTTTTTTATCTATAAGGTTAAATAAGATCATACCTAGACCATTTTTAGGCTACAAAGCAGGAAAACAATGTCAACTGTTGCTAAATCATCCAGAGTATGGTTAAAATCGTAGCATAAAATTACCATCATTAATATGTAATTTAATTATCAGTTCCAGATAGCATATGTTGTTGGAAATGCATTTAAATTAGTCTTTTGTTATAATTGTTGTCAAAAACATTGATCAAATAACATATATTTCTGCAAATGGAGACAATGTGATATTGTAAAAAAGCATAATCACTAGACCTAAACCTTAGCTCCAAAGTAATATCAATAATTTACATGTACTTTCAGATAGAAGAATCTTAATAACCTATAAAATAGCAGACTTCTGTCAGTTAAATGGAAATCTACATTTAAAATATAAATTGGTGTCTTGAGATTTTTAAAAAGGCATTTTCAATGGAAAGTATAGAACATGTTTTAGTTATCTATTGCTGTGCATAAAACTACCCCAAACCTTCTTAACCAGCAGCTATTTTATCACATACTATAATTTCTGAGGGATAGAATTTTGCAAAGGAGTCAGCTGAATGATTTTTTTTTAACTTGACCTTAACTGAGTCAGTTGGTGATGATCATCTGCCAGATGGTTTGGTCTGAAGAATCTTAAGCAGCTTTATTTACATGGTTTTTTTTTTTTTTTTTTGTCTTACTAGTGATGACTAGAAAATAGTCAACCAGAGTGCCTACTCAGGCTTCTTCTACTGGCTTGGGATTCCTCATAGTGTGGCAGTCTCAAGTTAGTCAGACTTATGGAGTGGCTCAGGGCTCCAGTTAATTGTTTTCAACAGATCTAGGTAAACGCTGCAAAGCTTTTCACGACTTAGCCTTAAAAGTCCCAGACTGTCACGTGCTCTTAATTTTATTGATTTCCACTAACACTAATCCAAATTCAAGAGGGGTAGAAATAAACATTGCCCCTCTGTGAGAGAAGTAACAAAGCATTTATGTCCACCTTTAATCTAACACAATATACAAACAAAATAGTATATATTTCATGACTGTACAAATTGACATATTTTCACACATTGGATAAGCCTGAATAACCACTATTCAGATTAAAAAAAAAAAAAAAAACACTACCTGCTCTCTAGTAGCTCCACTTTATTCTCTCCCTTTTCAGTTATTAGCCAGTCCCTGAAAACCAACCAGTACCCTAACTTTATTTTTATTTATTTATTATTATTATTATTTTTCTTTTAGATGGAGTCTCACTCTGTCACCCAGGCTGGAGTGCAGTGGCACAATCTTGGCTCACTGCAACCTCCATCTCCTGGGTTCAAGCGATTCTCCTGTCTCAGCCTCCCGAGTAGCTGGGATTAGAGATGCACACCACCACGCCCGGCTACTTTTTGTATTTTTAATAGAGACAGGGTTTCATCATATTGGCCAAGATGGTCTCGAACTCCTAACCTCATGATCCACCTGCCTCAGCCTCCCAAAGTGCTGGGATTACAGGTGTGAGCCACCGTGCCCAGCCCAATATCCTAACTTGTAAAAGCATAGATTCGTTATTGTGCTTTTTGATAGTGGAGTCAGAACTCTATTTCTTTTAAATCTAGCTTCTTTTGTCCAACATTATATACGGGGGAATTCATCTGTATTGTGGAGTATAGTTTCAGTGTTTATTTTCATTGCTATAAAGTATCTACTGCGAGAATTGTAAGGGAGGCAAAACTTTATCTTTACCCTCTTAGGGTTCTAGCTGGTCTTGAGAATTAAGTTTTAAAAAAAATAGAATAGCAGGAAAAAAAATTACAGCTTAAGTTTTACATGACACCAGAGCCGTCTTAAGGAATTGGAAACCCAAAGAAGTGGCAAAACCCCTATGCTTTTATATTAGGTTGACCAAAGAGAGGCCATTGTGGAAAAATAACAAATCATGTACAAAGCATAAGAGCTGTAAGAATCATTTTTAAAAGGTGTGTTTGTATAGAATTCTCTTGGCTATGACTCCACACGCAGAATGTTTCTTTTCTCCTGGTACAGGGAGGATATCTTTCACATGGGAGTTTTTGTCACCAATTTTCAGAAGCAAAGGGGAGTTTAAAATGTATTTCTTGCATCTGTTGTTTCTTGAGTTTGTTTAGATCAAAATAATCTTTATACCAAAGTGGCAAAATTTGGGGAACATATTCTTTCACCCTTCAGAATAGAACAAAATTAGCTTACCCATTCTATTTCAGAGCACATAGATATTTAAATCGTTTCTAGTTTTGGCTGTCTTAAAAGTACAGATACCTTCTCATTTGTAGTCTTTTTCTTTCTAGATATAAGAAACAACTTTTCCACAGTATCATGTGGAACAATAGAAGTGTTTTTTTCATATAGAAAAAATGTGGGTCAGGAACTATTGATAATTTTCTGCTAACATATATTCTATACATATTTGTTGGGGATGATATTGAAAATCCATAACAGCACAAATCAATAACTTTTAAGGAGAAAGACACTCTTGCCCCGAGAAAAAGTTACTTTGAGGTATCACTATTTCTTTTTTTAATAAACTTTTGTATTGTGAGTATTTAAGACATACAATATGATGTTATGGGATACATGCAGAGAGTAAAAAGACTATAGTGAAACAAGTTAAAATATTCATCATCTCTCATAGTTACCAATGTTTTTTTTTGTTTCTGTAGCAAGAGCAGCTAAAATCTACTCATTTAGCATAAATCCAAAATGCAGTATAATTTAGTTACCTATAGCCTTGATGTTATATCTCTAGACTTGTTTATTCTATATAGTTGCTACTTTGTATCCTCTTAACCTATTTCCTCCTCACCTCCTCCTCATACCCTTGCTAACCACCATTCTGACTAGTATGAGATGATATCTCATTGTGGCGTTGATTTGCATTTCTCTAATGATCAGTCATGTTGAACTTTTTTTTTTCATGTTTGTTGTCTGCATGTATCTCTTATTTTGAGAATGTCACTTCTTATTCTTTTTTTTTCCTACATCAGATAGGTAATGTGCCAATGTCTTAAGGTTTAAGGAAGGCACATCTCACACGAGTGTGAAAACCCAGTCCCTATTCTTATGAACCACAACAGGATCCTTATCCATTTTGAGTTGATTTTGTGTACAGTATAAGATAATCATATAATTTCATTCCATTGCTTGTGAGGATCCAGTTTTTCCAGCACCATTTATTGAGGAGACAATCCTTTCCCTTTTTACCAAAAGAACCTCTTGGTACTTTTCTAAAAAATTATTTGGCTGCATATATTTGAATTTATTTATGGGCTACTGTTTCACTGGTCTATGTGTCTTCTTTTATGCCAGTACCGTAATGTTTGGTGTACTACTGTACCTCTCTAATATAATTTTAAATCAGGAAGTGTGTAAGGTATCATTATTTATAATCACTAAACAAACACCCAGTATATTTTTCAAATAGCTGAAAACAAGGATTTATTGCATTTATTTTAGGCCGTGGTCTCCGAGATTAAGAATTATTTTTGATAAGATTTTCATTACCATGTTTTTCCCAATCCTATAAATATTTTTGTTTTTTCAATTTAAATCACGATCCCTACGGCTAAGATTATAGAATAATGAAATTTTCCCTTGAAAAGTCTTAGAATAATGTGTTGCTAGTCCAGGGTATAATACATAGAAACTTAAAACTTTGGGAAAAAATATAACTCTTGAAAAATAAATCCGAGAAAAATATTCTCATCAATTATAAAGAAAAATAAACTTCTTCATTCATGAAACAGAGCATCAATCATTTTTTTTCAAATTGAAATAAATACAACCTGAAAGCAGATGACAATGGATTCCCTTTGCCTTTTCATGGGATTACTTCCTCACTGATGTGAATTATTTGGAACACAAATAAATAAGACAAAATATAATCTTGTTTGAAATTTGAATTTTCAGATTGAGCAGGAGAGAGGAATGATAGTTTGTTTCACCATTAGCTATCAATCAACAAAGTTTGCTAAATTGTAGACCATATTCTCTAACTATATTTTACAGAAATATATAAGGCACACTTTTAATTAACAATTGCTTTGATGTTTGGTAGATGTTTCTGAGGATTCTTCATTTTCTCATTTTACTATTTATACACTATCTTTTGAGAAGGTTGATAATAATTTTGTTCTTTTTCTTTAATCAACTTTGTACTTATGGTAATTTCTATTATATCTAAAGTTAGTCTTTTTATTCACATCATATCCTAACTGACATTTTTCTGATCACATGCCAAGAGCAAAAAGAAGAAAGAACTGGTTTTAAGACTCTTACAGGGTAAGTTCCTAAGACTTTAAAATGCCTAGAAGAAAAAAGAAAATCTGCAGAAGAAATAAATTTGCCCCAAATTTTCATATAATGACATATTGACAAATATGTATAAGTTAAAATTTTTAAAGGGGTTCAGATATTGTTTGTTATATATTTGTTTGTTACTTAATAATATTTTCATTCTTGATTTTTTATTTTTTGAGACACGGTCTTTCTCTGTCTCCCAAACTGGAGGGCGGTGGCACAATCTTGGCTCACTGCAGCCTTTATCTCCCACACTCAAGGAATCCTCCAGACTCAGCTTCCCAAGTAGATAGAACTATAGGCACCCACCACCACATCCAGATAATTTTGGTATGTTTCGTAGAGACAGGATTTTGCCATGTTGCCCAGGCTGGTCTTGAACTCCTGAGCTGAAATGATCCTCCTGCCTCAGCCTCCCAAATTGCTGGGATTACAGGTGTGAGCCACTACACTCAGCCCATTAATCTTTAAAAGCTATCTTCATCACAACAACTGTGACTGACTTTATCCCTATTCATAGATCAAATATCGGGAATTTGGAGAGTCCCTTGTTCATTACTCTTGACTGGAAATTGAACCAGCAGCCCTCGTGGATGTGACTATGCAAAGATAAATGTGAGGGCTCACCATATTTATTCAATTCTCTTCTACGGTCAGGACACCCCTGCACATAGTTTGTGTTGACTTCACTTTTTTAGCCCCTCCATTGGCTGAATCTAAAGGTTATATTACAAGGATCACAAATGACGCAGAAAAAGACAAACCAGGGGAGAAAGGTTTCATTGAGCAAAATGACTGGATTTCAACCAAGCCAATCCCTCATGGACGTCAATGTACATGAGAATGACTGAAGTCAAGTACGAAAATTGTTACCTATGGCTCATTACCTTCATTTGGTCATGTCACCCTTTTAGGTCAAGTTCCACAGCAAGGCCAGAATTTCCAAAATGTCAAAGGCAAAGCTGTTGCCATAAACCTCATTAAAATAGAAAACCTCCTTATTAAAAAGATGTTTTATATAATAAAGGACAACTTATAAATACTGAAAAACGCAGCAATAGCAAATTTTTAGCTCAGCTTAGTGAGTCTCAGACTGAAGTTTGAATTTGAGTCCTGAGCCTGACTGTTGTTTAATGGATTATGCTACATTTCTGAGAGCAGGACCACAGGGTGGCTAAAAGTGTGATATGTGTGTGTGTGTGTGTGTGTGTGTGTGTGTGTGTGTGAGAAACACATTTTGGGGGTTCAGACAAGTCAGGTAATTTTGTTAAATGTTTACCCTCTTATTTCTTATCTTTATTAAAAACAATAATTATTGGGCAGAAAGAAGATTTTCTTTCCTTTTAACATAATAATTTGGACGTACTTCCCTATTTTGTCCCAATTTTCTGTTTAGTTTATCAGTCTGTTTCTGTGGCTTTACAAAGTTAAATGTTTATTCCTTTAATTTTATTGTCCATATTCACTCTAACTTTTTGGATGAACATAAAAATATCCCTGTTGTTAATGGGCTCCTCCGATGGTGTTCAAAAGCATTTTCATTACTAATATTTGAAAGAATGAATGAAGAAATGAATACTTGAGGTTATAGTACAAGGGGCAAAACAGAAGGCAAAGAAACTGTATGACTACAAAAAAGTACAAGACAGAGGCAGCTTAACTAGGCCACCAGTCAAATGTGACTACATTTACATGACTTCCAGAAAAAAATTATAGTATCTAAAAATGCGTTTTCATTATCTTGGCAATGGTTGAGAGTGTGTGTGTGAGCATGCATGTGTGTACATAAAATGATACAATCATTCAGTTAGCTTAATTCAATAACTTTTACATTCTCAGGAAATAAATAGGAGATAAAACTCATTAACAAGATTTTCTAGTGAGATTATTTTAACGACTTCTTTTAATAGTTTTACTTTAGGTATGTGGTCAATCAAATGCTGTAGACTACTTAGATCTCTCTAACAGATTTCCCTAGAGGAAATCATGGCACTACAGTATCATACAAAAAGATAAGGATGTGGCAGTGACTGCTAGATGTAAACAGGAGCCTTCTTTAAGGGAGAGGAGGATAAGAATATTGAACTTCTGTGCAATTAGATGTAGCCATATGACTAAATAATCTAATGGAATACGGGATAAAGTGATAGGCCACACTTCCCAGTAAGTCCCATGGAAAACTTCCCGTGTGATCTTTGCTCTCCTTCGCGTCTGCCACCAGCTAATAGGCAGGGCCCTGTGACATCACTTGCAGGTAAGCTGCCCAGGAGAGCTTTCAGATCAAAAGGTCTGTTCCATGGAGTGTTCCATGATTGAGATATGAAATTTCATTTGGTTCAGGAATTAAAATGTAGGAGTTTTGAATTATGGCAATACAACCAGTACAATGATATTCTGGTTAATGAACATTTTTAAACTAATTTTTAAATACTTTACAGAATACACTGTTGTTATCGAATAATTTCTATAATAAAAATTCTTATTAAGAACAAACATATGCAAAAAATAAAAGATTTGTGCAATGAATCTACATACATCATCTACTTTAAACAATTATATACTTTCTGTTATATTGACTTTATCTTTCTTTCCATATATGTGCATTGTTTTTTTATTTTTTATTTTTTCTTAATTTGAAAGTAAGGGACACCCAGGCAGGGTGGCTCATACCTGTAATCCCAGCATTTTGGGAGGCTGAGGCAGGTGGATCACTTGAAATGAGCAGTTTAAGACCAGCCTCACCAACACGGTAAAGCCCCACCTCTACTCAAAATACAAAAATTAGGTGGGCATGGCAGTGGGCACCTGTATCCCAGCTACTCGGAAGGCTGAGGCAGGAGAATCGCTCGAACCTGGGAGGCAGAGGTTGCAGTGAGCTGCAGTAGTGCCGCTGCCTGCCAGCCCAAGCAATAAACTTAGACTTCATCTCAAAAAAAAAAAAAAAGAAAGAAAGAAAAGAAAAAAAAAGGAAGTAAGAAAGTAAGGTACAGAAATCATCATACTTTTCTCCATAATACTTCAGAATGCATTTAAGATAGAAAATAATAATGGTTTTCTATTGTCATCTAATATCTAGTCCACACTCAAATTCTCAATGATTTCAATAACTGCATTTTATAACTGCTTCTTGTAATTTGGAATCTGAGTCAGAATTCAGGCTCTACCTTTAGTTACTATATCTCTTTAATCTCTGAGACCAAAAGAGCGCTGCTTTCTCTTACTTGTTCATCATTATTATCTTCTCCTTTTCTGTGTGCTTTCCTTTCTTATTACCACTGTAACAAATTACCACAAATATGGTGGCTTAAAACAATACAAATATATTCTCTTACGGTTCTGAAAATTAGAAGTCCAAAAGGAGTCTCAAGAGTCTAAACTCAAAGTGTCATCAGAGCTGGGTTCTTCAGAGAGTCCATGAGAGTCTGGTCCTTTCCTCTTCCACTTATAGACTTCCAGCAATCCTTGGCCCCTGGACACATTCCTCTAAGCTCTGCTTCTATAGGTAAATCACCTTTTTTTCTTCTGTAGCCAAGTATCCCCCTGTATTCCTTTCATAGGGACACTTGTAACTACACTGATGGCTTACTATGTAGACACCAGGATAATCTCCCCTTCTTAAGAACCCTAAACTGGGCAAGATGACTCATGCCTGCAATCCAAGCACTTTGGGAAGCTGGGGCAGGTGGACGATTTGAGGTCAGGAGTTCAAGACCAGCCTGGCCACCATGGTGAAACCCCATCTCTACCAAAAATACAAAAATTAGCCAGGCATGGTGGTATG